GTGCTCGGTGCTCTCCTTGGGGCGGCGGGTGCCCCCCCTGCCAGTCTTCCCCGGTCTTCCCTCTGTCCCTGTCTGTGTCCTCTTCTCCTCTTACAAGGACGCCAGTCTGCTGGGGTAGGACCACCCTCGTGACTTCATTGTACCCCCAAAGACCCCATCTCCAAACATAGCTCCGTGCAGAACTACCCGGTCAGGACTGCAACGCGCGAGCCTGGGGGGACGCAGCGTGGCTCCCAGCGGAGGCCAGGGATGAGCGCCGGCTGTCTGGGGTGGAGGCGAGGGCGGAGGCTGCCCCGTCGGTGAGAGGCATTTGCCAGCTCGGCAGAGCAGGGAGATCAGAACCTGAAAGATCTGGACTCTGTCAAGCAGAACCGTCAAGCACAGGGAGCCACTCGATGCAATCTCAGAGCGGGATGGGCAAGTGGCTAGAGAGGAGAGGAGAAGGCGGCGGGGTGGCGGGCCACACCTTCACGGCCAGGACGGGGAGCATGCACAGGGAGCACGGACGGTCCGTGAGGAGACAGAGAGCCAGGGAAGGGTTAAGAGCCAGGGAGAGCTGGATGTAGGAAGGGTACCCCGGGGTGATACGGATACCTGTGGCTGAAGGCAGAGGCCATGGAGGGGGGCCTGGGCATCAGGGATGCTGGGAGGGGCAGCTTAGGGTTAGCAGTTGCTGGAGTAGGGGCAAGGCCTGGCGAGTTAGAGCTGGGATCAGTCAGGGTATCTGCCTTTGCTGTCCAGAGTCAGGAGCAGCTCAGCGCTGGGCTGCCTGGGTCTTCCTGTTCCTCTCCTTGTCGTGAGCCGACCAGTGCCCCACCCCAGTGCCTGGAAACCAGGCCTGAGCTCCCTTGGTATCCTGGGTGCCTGCTTCCACCCCTGCCCTCGCCCGCCTCTGCCTTCATAGGAATATGTGCTGGCTTCGTTTTAAAAAGATTTTATGTGAGGACCAGCAGATGGTGTAGCAGTTATGTCACTGGACTCCCACCAGGCCGACAGTGGTTCGAGTCCCGGACCCGGTGGCTTAAAAATCATGCCGGGGCATATGTGCATGTGGGCCCAAGATCCTGGGAGGAGAAGGGATTGCGGGGTGGTTTCTCACTTGCCCTCTCACTGTGTCTGTCTGTCTCTCTAGCAATAAAGTGCTCACAGTTTAAGTGTGCAACTTGATGAATTTTTACATATATATAGACCCACATAACCACCTAACAGATCCTGTCCGGTCACCACAGGCTTCCTCATGTCCTTTCCCGGGCAACACCCGCAAAGGTACTCGCGAATCTGACTTTGACCCTCTGGTATCGGATTGCATGCTCTTGAACTCCGTGTAACTGGGAGCGTAGCTGTGTGTGCGTCCACCTTGGGATTGGTGTTCTCAGCCGCGTGCGGGGCAGTTCCGCGGTGTGGATGGGGCAGAAGCCGGTTTCTGTGCATTGGTGAGGATCGTTTCCTCGTGCGGAGGCTTCATGTTGTGCCTGTGCGTTCAGCTGGTGATGGGTCCTGGTTGCTTCTAGAGTGGAGCCATTATGAAAAGGCTGCAGAAACGCCCTGCCCCAGCGCTTCGGTGGCCCGGGCGTGCTTTTCCCCTGCGTGAGTGCCCAGGAATGGACATGCTAGGTCACCGGGCTGCACAGCACTTTGGCTTTTCCGATTCGTCTTTGTATCAGTTCAAACGTTCCTAGCAACACATGAGCTTGCTTTTATTTATTTATTCATCTGTTCAATTGCCAGAGTGCGTGCACGAGAAAGAGAGAGAGAGAGAGAGAGAGAGAGAGAGAGAGAGAAGCAACCCCAGTGGGGCGTGCTGCAAACTTTTCTTGTACATGCTCCTGGTGTTTTTCAAGCTGCTGGGGCTGGGATTTGAACTGCCGTCAGCCTTGTAAGATCTAGCTCCCTTAACCACTAGGCTATGGGGCCAGCCCCGTGACCTGGCTTTTAAATGAGGAATTTAAAATATGTGAGCCGTGTTTCACACCAAGTAATCCTCTATTGTAAAATTCCTAGACGTGTATGTATATTTTGTAATTTGCTATAGGGCATGTGCACTCACTGGAGAGAGACAGAGAGACAGAGTGAGAGAGAGAGAGGGAAAGTCAGAAAGCATCCCCCATCGGGAATGGTCATGCCACAATCCCTTCTCCATTTCTCCCTCCTTGTGGGATTTTGGGCACACATGCACACATGCTCGGCAGGTTTTGCAAGTTGCTGGGTCTGGGACTTGAACCTTGCTGTTGGCCATGTGGGATCCAGCTGCCTTAACCACCATGCCACTGGCTAGACCCATTACTAGACATTTTGTGTTGGTTGTTGAGTTCTTCCCACCCCTCACTTTATTCTAAAAAAATTTTTGTAAGAAAAAAAAAAATGTAAGTTTCTTTCTTTCCTGAGTGAGAGACAGAGACAAAGAAAAGGCAACCCTAACGATCGTCAGCTGCAGCCCACCCCAGCCTCAGCCAGCTCCGGGCCACGGCACAACAGACCGGCATGTTCAGGGCGTGCCGTTCCGTGAACCTGGAGCCTTCCCGCGGGGCTGTCTTGCGGCACGTCATGTTTTACCACACATGTTTGCACCCCTCTGCCCCCCGCACCCCCACGCCTACGTCTGCTGCAGGTGCGGAGCACACAGCTGGACAGCTCCTTTGCTAGGACTGAGGCCATGCGTGGTTCAGCTGGGGCTACTGGAGTTGTGAGGGAGCGGGTAGGGTCAGAGGCAGGACCGTGAGTAATGCTTGCAGCCAGCTGAGAGTCAAGGTCGGGTGAAGGGCTTAGCCGGGAGGTCAGCTGGGATTCAGGGTGAGTAAGGGGCTGAGAATGGTCAGACTGAAGCCCAGACTTGTGCAGGGGGTCTAGGAAGGGTCGTGTGAGGGGTTAGGAAGGGCTGAGGTTAGTGCCCGGATGAGCTTGGGTTTGGGGAGGAGGCTTGGAGGCGAGGGGCGCAAGTGAGGACTGCAGTCCATTAGACTGGGGTGGCCTGATGAGGACAGGACCCCTGAGCTCACGAAGACCCGGGGTCCCATCAGCGTGCCTCTGCTCTCTTGCTGTGCTCTTGGGGAGACATCCTCTCTCAGAGCCCCAGTTTCCTCCTCCGTAAAATGGGGTCAAATTGGCGCCAACTGCCAAAGCGAGCTCTGAAGCATGTCAGCTCTGTGGTGAGGGGAGGCGCTCACCCTCTCACGTCCGCGTCAGTGTGCTCTGAGGACAGGGCACTTGTCTCCAAGGGCGTGCGTCCCCTGCTGCCCAGTTAGCTGCTTGTCACCTCCCCTTGGCCACCTCCTTTCATCACCTGGGCCTCCGGAATGATAGGACAGGATGGTACCAGCAGGGATGGGTGTGAGGCCAGATGGGACTGAAGGCTGAAGTCCCGGGGTGGGTTTAGGATTAGTCGGAGGGCAAGGTCCGGGGCAGAGCCTGATGGCCTTGGGCTCGGGTCAGAAGGCCCGGGAGAGGGCGGCGTGGATGGAGAAAGCGGTGGGCTGGGAAGGGGTCAGAGGGCGCTGAGTCACAATCAGAGATCTGAAGACGCCCTCCTTTGGGGACGCTGCAGCCCCAAACATCCCCCAGGTCCCACTCAGAGTGGAAAACATGTCTCACCCGAAACTGGTAGGGCCGGACGGGGAGCCTCTGGCCGCCTGTGAAGGAAACCCGAGGCAGCGCTGGCTCCTTTGGGACATCGTCCCCTCCTCCCGGGCCTGCCGGACCACCTCCTACCTCCCACCCTGCCTCTTGCCTCACGTTGGTGACACCCACTGTGCCACCTCCCAGAGGGGTGAAAGGGGAGGCGAGATGCGCTGAGGCCTGCAGAGGACAAGGCCCAGGACAGGGGTCTGTCTCTGAAGAAGATACACTCTGCAGGGGGCAGAGGGCAAGGGGAGGGTTGAGGGAATGGCTTGGGGCAGTGTCAGAGAAGGGCCTGGGACCCCACCTGGCTTCTCATCCCTGCCCCTCACCCCACTTCCATCCCTTCGTCCCCAGAAATAAGAATGTCTAAGCCCCTGGAGGCCGAGAAGCAAGGTCTGGACTCCCCATCTGAGCACACAGGTAGGCGGGAGGAGTGGG